TTCTTGAGAAAAATTTACTTTTCTTAATGACGTGACATTATCTTATATATTAAATGATCCATTACTTAAAGTATCGTTAAACTATAATTTTTCGATAACTTTTTCTTAAGTAAAACTTAAATAAAGCTTCAAACGTCAAAATTTCAAAAGAATCATCATTTCTAAAAAATATAATGCAATTCTGGAAATATCTTCGTAAATGGTATATATGTATATAATGTTCTCGCTCTTATTAAGAAATCGTTAGCATAAAACCCATGGAATGACTGTATTTATCGATCTCGTGTTTGCACGAATACGGTGCGGATTGAATCTGCTTTTCTGAATCCCCGCAAGTTTGCAGGTTTTTGACCTTTCGATGCTACACTCCGAGTCATCCTCAATAAATAGAAAAGCACGCCGGGTGCCAAAGAATTTCAAATCCGAGTAAACCAATAATCTGATCCGCCAGGAAATATCACATACAAACTTCAAGTTATTCGTTGTTTAATCGACACAGATTCTTAACTCTTCCTTGTATTCATTTGCTAGTTTTTTCGATTGTTTTTAGTTGGTACAACACACATATAGTTTAGAATCTACGTAATATTCTATTATAATGCGTTGTCACGGTTATTTTAGTTTTCATTCATTGAAACGACTAACTATTACACGCAATTTCGAAACGTTCGTTTCGTAAAAATTCAAAGAAACAAACAGCTGCAAATAATTGTTCTATAATTAGTAATAATACAATAATACGTTTTTTTTTTTTTTTCGTTGGAATAACAATTATTTTAACGAATAAAATACATCTTTCTTTTTTTTATCGCCGCAAAAACACGACAAAACTTTTCTGATTACGTGATAATTCAAATAATTTCGATTCATCGATTGTCGTCATAAGATTAAATAAAAAATCAATCTAACCTAACCTAACAATCAATATTTCATTTACAATTATAATCTTCAATCGGATTTACATTTCCTTTAAATTCCATTTGTTAACATTGAAATTAATGAAAAGGAATTCCGATGATTTAACGATTATCTCCAAACACTTGCACAATCGAATATCTTGATTTTCATTTTTTAAAATATTTACTTTAATACGTTTGAGCAAATTCGACAAAAATAAATTGGAAAGTTTTTCTCATATATCGTAAAAATATAATTAAATAAACGTTTAATCTATTCTAATAATGCACAAATAATAAAACTTCACTTCTCTCCGATATTTTGAAATACTGAATAGGAAATTTCAAGTAAAGGGTAGAGCTTTATAGTGTATATTTCGGGACGATAAGTATATGGAACACGAAGGCCGAAAAAAAAGCGTCGATTAAGGTTACAGAAGCTGGTGCATAGAACATAGCTAGTCGGCCGTTGTACACGAAATACGTCACGTCCGCATTTACGTTAATCTGTTGTCGGCCGACTTGGATACCTCCGTCATTTACTTGAACGTGTTACAACGCATCGTTTACCACTTAAATCACCGACCAAAAATTTCTATATCTGATTCGGTAATATATCTTATTCGAATAGATATAACTAGAGAAAAGTGAAATCCATAGAATTATTTGGACTATTGTATGTATATCAAATAATAAATGATATAAAAATATACTTATGATCTATCTTACTATATATCTATCTTTCTTTTCTTTTTTAAGAAAGTTGTAAATTGAATATAATTCTTAGAATAAAATTGATTGATATTGAACGTCAAAGTAATTCAAAGATTGAAAATTTTGTGGGATTACAGTGATTCTATTTCCAAATTTTCCAATACACATTTTTTGAATTTTATTTTATCATACGATAAATAAAAAATTATTTGATAAAATACTTGATAAAATTTTAAATATATCTGTCAAGTATTCGTTTTATTGATACGAAACTAGAAAATATCTTTTTCGATTATTTTCAAAACGGATATCTTCACTTAATTCAGTCCCTGCAAAATGAAAAGTTTTCTCGTTTATAAATACGCTATCTGTGATTCATCGTCCCGACAGTGCAACTTTGAATTGAAAAAGCGTCTCATAGAATAAGAAAGCAATATTTCCTCTTATAAGACATAGACGCCATTTTATATTCGTTTCAATTAACAAATTTGACGTCGGTCAATTAATCGATCACGCGATATAAGCTTCAAAGTAACTGGTTAGTAACTTAAGAACTCTCAAGAACTAGTTTCTTTAGTGATAAAAAAAAAAAGCAAAAGTTTTAACAATGATGAATAATAATGAAATAAATAGCTAAAAATAATTAAATTATATAATTTTTTAATATATTTTAGTAATGTTATATAGAATTATATGCTTTATATATAATATAATAAATCAAACAAAAAGAAAATGTTATATATGTTACAGGACTTAAAATGTAATACATGTTTCATTCATAATCTTTTACTTTTCACACAATTATATTTCTCTATGAGAAAATGATAATGATATAATTAAAAAAAAATTAAAAATATAATTATAATAAAAATAATAATAATATTTATACATAATATTTATATAAAATACAATGTATTAAAAAAAAAATTGAAAAATTGATAATTAGCACGATTCAATATCCCTATAATATATTATAGGGGTGTATTTATTACATGTTATGCTGCAATATCGTTTCCTCATGGCGCATAATATATACATATAAATATGGATACGTTAATTAGAGCAGAAATATTAAAAATGTTCTGCGAGTATTTTTAAAAGAAAGTAATGTAATCTATCTTTTTCAAGAATTTGACAATGCAATAAATATTTAATTACGGCATATATAAATAAATATATTTATATTCATAAATAAAGTTATATTTGTATTTACATAATGAAACATAAGAATCAAAGAAAATATTAAATCTTTGCATAATTTATAAATATACGAATATTTAACAATTTCTTGAACAAAATAAATTTCTGTAATAAATGTCTCCGAAATCATTTCAAAAAATTACAGGATTAAGTTTCCAACAATCATGGAAACTATATCAAAAATAATAAATATCAAAAACAAAAAAAAAATATATATTTAATACGATAATATCTTCATTGATATAAAATATATATATATATATAAAACAAATTAAACTTTTGATATATTTAATTTTTACATTGATTTGTATAGTGATTTCTAAAAATGATATGTAATTTATGCTTTTTCCTAATATAAAATTTTTTTATATTATATTTTTGTAATATAAATATAACAATTTTTCTATAATAAGAAAAAAAATTTAATTCTATAGATATTATTATATTTTTAATTTGTATAGTAGATGATATATATGTATATACGTACAATGTACATTTATATATATGTACAATGTATATTTTGACATACATTGTTATGATTTGAATGAAACGGATAGATGTCGCCAAAAACGCGACCCGGAAGAAGCGATCGGCACGACACTAATTTATTAATTTATTCCGAAGAGACATGCATACGCCCAAGCCCGGCAACGGTGACGTAACTGTAAACATAACATCGAACGAGACCAAAAAAGAATCAGTAATTCACAAAAAAAATTATTAAATGATTATTATAACTTTTCCTATTTTAATTTTTTAATTTGTGTATATTAATTTATATAAATTTTATAAACGAAAGTTGGACGTTATGAAAAATTTAAATCGAACTATTTTGAATTTGTTGTTTCAAATATCAAAATGTTGTCAAATATCATGAATGTCAAAACAAATATAAACATAATTTTATTTTTAAAATCTGACTAGAATAATTTAAATGTAGTGAAATTTTATTCTAATATACATAATAATTTATAACATTTTATCAGCAATTTAAGAATTTTTGACAATGACTCAGCATCGGTTTCGGTGATGACGAAATCGATTTGCATCAAAGAAATTGTACAACGTATAACGTATTAAATTAATTAAAGAACTATGATATGTAATTAAGTCACTTTTATTAATATTGAAACCAAATCAATATAAATAAAAATTATTCATCGCCATATCTATATATAATTATATATATATATATACTATATATATTTTTAGATATACGTTTACAATTTTCATATGAAAATATGTATAAGAATTATTTTGACATAAATCCTATAAGAAACGATCATAATTAAATATCTATTTTATAGATATATTTTATCAAGATAAAACAATTAAATACATGCTGTTTTAAAGCGATTAGATTATCTTTAGTTTAGCTTTTCCTAGAAATTATTTTTCAATATAAGAAAGAATGAAATTTTAAGAACTAAAATAATTAAAAACGAACAAAAGTACGATGACTTTATACTTTCAAATAATATATATAATATATATTCGTAAAATCCTTTTTTATTTTATATTGTCATATTTATAAAATACTGCAAAAATTTATTTTAAATCAATAATAAGATGAAAAAGACACTTAATTTTATACAATGGTATTCAAATACTTGACAGATTTTCAGTAGAGAAAATTAGGTCACCAATAGATAGGTCTTGACAGGTGAATAAAACTATTCCATACTATTCCAACTACACCATATAGCGGAAATTAAAGCGCTATAAATGAACAAAACTCGAAAACACAAAAGTTAATTCCAGAAAATATAATAATATAATAATAGTATAAATTTATCATATTATAAAACTAATTATACGCAAATAAAAAATTATAAATAATTCTATCCGTAAGATAAAACAAAAGAACATAACATTTAATCGTATAGTGAACACAGATTCAGTTGTTAGAATCAATGCCGCATTTGATCAAAGACTTATAAGAAATAAAACAATTACGATAAATGACAAACGATCTCACGTACCAAAAGAATATGAATCCCGTTCGAGCGCTGTCAAAGATATATGTAATGAAATGCTGTATAATAATCCAAAAGTAAAGAGAAATCAGAGAAGCTAAGGCGGTACACGCCATTTTTATCTGTAAAGTCTAAGCCGTCACGAGACAACCGATTGTACAATTCAATTACTTTTGCATTTTCGAACAGAAACCAAAAGAAACCATGTACCTACCTTCTCGTAAGGATACCCTGCAACACCGTTTTATTCCAATACTCGCATAAAAACCAGCCGATGTACACCAAAAACCACCGATAACGATCCACACAAATCCATCCACACATTCGACCAGCGCGCAACTGACTGAGCGCATACGGCGTCGACCTACGCCAGCGTAGCTAGTCCCAATTTTGATCCACCAATGAAACATAAGTGTAACATTATGAATATCTGCAGCAAATTGGTATATAATTTCATAAAATATTTTTAATATTTAAAAAAAAGTTATTTAATTATTTATCAAGAATGTTATAACGATACAATTGTCGTATCTATTTGCAAAAATGCACAAAAATATATTTTAATAATATAAATTGTTTAATATAAAACATATTTATATATATTATTTACTATAAGTAAAAATAATTTTCTATTATATTTTTTTAAAAAAAAGAAACATCGATGATCGATAAAATATTCGACAAAATGACTTTTATTTTTGAAAAATACTTTTCATATAATTCTGTAAAAATTCTGTAAATATTAAAAATTTTTGTGAAATAATGTTTATATATTAAAATATAAAAATATTTCTATCAAATTTTATTGAAACAATAAAAATATTTATTTTATTTTACATTATGTATATTGTTTATATATATTATAAATGCATAATTTTTTAATTGAATAATATAATTTTATTATAAAAATAAATAAAATTATTATACTAGCATAAAAAGATAACTAATTTATATTTTTTTTAAATAGATTTAAATGATCAAAACGTATGTGGTTACAGCTATACTTATACCTGCCCTGTAACAACCGGCGTAGGAATACAAGATAGCTTATGACATCACTAGTCCCGTTTACCCACATTCTGGACCGGGCACGCCCCATCCTTACTGTTAGTCATTATTATAAAAATTTTAAAACAAAAGTTTATTAAAAATATAACTGATTTTAAATATTCAAGAAAGATTAAATATAGAAGTCATGTAAATAAAAATAAGTGCATATAGTATAAATAATTATATTTATATTTTTATTACCAATTATTATTTTCTTATAATTGATATTAATCAATATTAATTAAAATATTTTTATATATATTAAAATATTTTTCAATTAAAGGATTAAAAAATGAAATATCTTTAATTATAATTTATTTCGAAAATAAACATATATAGATATATAAATATATATAATTAAATCTTTTTTTAATTTTTTTCTAACATAAAATAATATTATAACAAAAATAAATTAAAAACAAATCACAGTAAATATAAATAGAAAGATAATGGAAAATGTATATATTTACATATAATATGGCAGAAGTACATCATAATGTACATTTTATATCACTTAATAATTAATATAAATATATTTAAATTATAATATACATATAAGTTATGCTTTACGATCTTGACATGAATAATGTACAATATCGCCATTCGGATATCTTGCAAATGCGCTGAAAAATAATTTATATTTCAATTTATTTATATGATAATATAATCATTGTCAATCAATATTGATATTAGATATATTGAATACTAACCTCTGATTGCCGAATCTTTTTTTACAAACTGGACATATGTTAAATTCCGTCATAAGAACGCTTTGTGATTCATAATGCATACGTTGTTCTTGTACTTGCAAGTGTTCAGCATAAAGCAAACCTTTTAAAATTTGTATTCTTCGTTTAGCATTCAATTTTTCTTGTAAACTGACTTCTAAAAAATGCCTTATTCTACCTATAGAAACATTATCAGGCAGAATTTCTAATGCTTTTAACGGATCTATCTTCGCTGCGTGTTCTTCGAGCAATCGAAGCGCCATTTCCAAATCAGGCTGTGTTGTTTTTTGAATTTCTGAACTACACCCTGATATGAATATGTACTATTCATTATTTTAAAATGAATATTATACTGGATGATAAAATTTTACCTGCCATCAAATTTTCTTTATCATCAGGTTTCAATAATTGTTGAATAAGCATTACATAAACTTCATCAGCTCCATTAGATTGTTTTTGTTTATCTGCATTTTCTTGATATAAAAATAAAATAATTGTATATATTTATAATAATATAATATAATATATTATAATATATTAATAATATAATATAATATAATTATATAAATAATAAATAAATACTTTTTAATAGTTAAGCTAATACCTACTTTGATATTTAGTATATACTTTATTACAATATTCAATTGCTTTTGGTACATCATTAAGAAGACTAATATATATTGAAATAACTTGCTGATGACGTGCAAGTCGTTCAAGAATAATTGCGCGTTCTTCGAATAAATTATCGAATGGAAAATGAACTAATACTGTTTCAGGCATATAATGCTCAGATTTTTGTAAAAATTGTTGCAATTTTTGCCTAATATATTGAGCTGTTTGTTTTTCGGCTGGTGTAGCATTTTCACTCATACATGCTAAACATTTTTCTTTGTATTGATGTATTAAAACATTATGGAATAAAAGATTAGTATCTTCCCAAACATGTACTACATGTTCTAAATATGTTATAACTAAATCCTTATGACAACGAAGAAGATAATCCAACACTTTTGCTCTTGGTAATTGTTCAACTTCCTAGAATTACAAACGTAATTTATAAAAAACCTGCAAAATATTATCCAATATACATTACCTGTATATCTTCTATGAAAATTCGAAGTCCTTGTTCTGGATCTTCATTCAAGACCCAACCAGCAAATTTTAAAATTAAATCTATATAATCTTTACCAAGGTGCTGCAAGTATTGTATTGTTCTTGCAGTACCTTTTAGACTAGAATCATTTTCTTTTGCATGTTTTTCAAGAAGTTCTAATGCTTTTCTATGTTGTCCTTTAGTTTGATATAATATAATAAGTTCAGGATATTTTTGATGCATTAATAAAGTTTTTTCAGCTTCTGCCAAATGGCAATGATTTAACCTGAGTAATGGTGCTACCAATGCATCAGTGGTCTATAAAAGAATTTTATAAATTATAATTACATAAACATAATTAAATGATTGAAATTATAGCTATTCATTATTGTAAATTACCTGCAAATAACATTTTAACAAAGTTGTATCTATTATTTTTAATAACTGTTCTGTGGCTACTGCTGTCATATTTTTTTTTCCTTCTATCAGAGATTTTTCTTTGATATTATCTTTATCCTTAGCTTTTGAATCTCCCATTAACTTGTGTCTAACTTCAGTAAGGAAAACTATTAATGCACGTAGACCTTTTTCTAAATCATGGTCTTGAAGTTTGGGTAATGTTGGATCACTGACTTCAGGATTATTACTAGATGGTGTAACTAAATCAGGAAATAACATAATCACTTCATATGGATCTGTTCCTATTTTCAAAAATTGGTCCATTGCTTCTTGAAATCTTTTACTACGGAACAGATGATGAGCATATAATGTTTGAATTTTATATATTTGTTTCACTTTTTCTTCCTCGGATATATCTGACAAACTCTAAAATAATGAAAAATTTTATTTTAAAATTGTACTAGAATGAAAAAAAAAACAATAAAATATATTATCAACATACAGTTAATTTCAATGCCAATTGAAATTGAGTTTGTTCAAGTAATGTTCTAATTTGATGTGTTACATCAATTGCTCTCACACACCAAACATGACTAATTGATGCAACAAAAACTTTTCCCTGTTTACATCTATATATAAGCCTAGCTTTGTTTAAATCCTTTATTGTTTGTATATGCAAACAACCTTCTGTAGTATATACTTCTAATCTATCATGTACAATTCCAAGTAGATAAGGATCATCCCAAGCTAAAATAATTCAATTTATACAATATTTGCATATTCAAAAAAAAAAAAAATCAAATATTTTTACTATTATTCTAATTACTATTAACTAATTATACATATTTTATACCTATTGCACTTGGTGTATCAGACCATTTTACTGGATTATGCTGAATTAATTCCCCTCTAGTATCCATAACAAATGATTGAGAATCTTTTCCCAACACAAAAGAATTATCAGATAATTTTGTAACACTTGGTTCAGGAGATTTTCCAGTTGGAAATAATTCTTTAGTTTTTCCATTTAAATCCAATATTGTATATGATAATCCACGAAAACCCAAAACTAATGTTTCACCACACCTTTGAAATAATTAAAACATATTTTTTTTATGTATAATTAAATAATAAATTATTATAAATAAATTATTCTATATAGCATATAATATACCAAGATAATTCACGTGGTATATCTGGCACAGTTAATTCAAGATCATTAAATGTCTCAAATTTTTTTCCTTTTGATTTATATAATTGTAGCTTACGTTTCACAACAACACATAAGTGTACAACTGTATGTTTTTCACCATTTATGATTTGATTTGGTTTTATGTCTAAACTGAATAATGTAGCACCACGAGTTTTTTGTAACTGATATAGTTGTTGAAAATTTAAAGAATTTAAATCATGAACACATATTATATTATCTACAAAAAGATATGATAAATTACATATTTTATTCTTAATTTTAAAAATTAATTAATAAAAATACCTGTTAAAATTATCAGCAAATTATATTCTGGTATAACATCTATCTGTGTAATACGCTTTTTGTTAAAATTTTTACTATGACGTAATAATTCTAATTTGTGATTATCATCTGATACAGAAGGTACATTATACATAAGAAGATGACCTTCTCTTGTTCCAATCAATAAATTATCATCTATAATATTTTATTATTATTCACTATACTTAGATATTATACACTATACTTAGATATTTATACAAAATAATATTAGAAATAAAAATTTAAATAACTTTAAATTTTCATTTTTCAAAAAAGCAATAAAAAAATTTTGCATATAAAAAAAAAGAAATATTTGCACAAAACTATAGATTTAGAATTAAAAACATTTAATTATTGAAGGTTATGTCTCGTACCATACGCAGCCATAGACTCTATTTGAACAGATATATTTAATATTGATGTTTCTTCATAAGCGTCATGCATTTTAACGTTATTTATTATTTATTTTTCTATAAATCCACAAAATAAAGAAACAATTTCTTTAATATTAATAATTAGATTTTAAACAAATTGATACTTCGACTTCAACTATTGAACTGCATGTTCAAATAAATTGACATTAAGTAAACTGATTATCAGTAAAATATAGTTTTACATATATGTAATATTGTTATTTTTAGATATTAAGTATAAAGTATTAAGTAAAAAAAATTTTATATTGATTCATATATATAAAATAAAATTAAATTTAATAACTATAAATTTTTATGTAATTATTTTTAAATATTTTTTAAAAATTATATATGATTTTTTAATAAAAAAAAATTAATCATAAATTATTATATTTAATTATAATGCGCAAATAAAAAATTATTGTAATTATATTTTTTTTATTAAAATATTAAAATATTACTATTCTATTTATATTTAATTAATATAAATAAAATATATTTAATTATATTCTATGTATTTATAAAATTTATAAAATTAAATAGATTAATATAATTTTTAAAAAATATTAAAAAATATTATTATTTATACATAATAACAATATATACATAAATAACAAAATAAACAGGATGGGAAATATACTTATTATAAATATAGAATATATAGAGCTAACATTTAATGTATGTTTTTTCATATATCCGTGTCACTAAAAATCTCTTATTATTTTTGTTTTCTTAATATTATTCTTAATATTACTGATTTGACTTAGAATAAGCTTACAACTCAGAATAAAATTGATAATGATTGGAATTGAAATTAAATTTTAATATAAAATTACAAATAAGAAATAAAATTCTATTACAAAATATAGATTATAGATTATAATAAATATATATAAAAATTACATTTTATACATGATTATATTCATTAAAATAATTTATATAATTATATTTTGTGAATTAGAAATAAAAATGAAAAATTTATATTTTTTATATTAAAGATTAAGATATATTATAACTTTGAAAGAAAAATTATGAAAATATATTTAATTGATATCCTATACTTTAACTGATCTGACACCAAGAATAAGTAAAGAAAATAATAGAACACAAAAAGAATAAAAATTATGAAATCTATATAATACTTTCTTTATTTTACAAATGAAATTCAAATATAGACAAAAAGACAAAACAATAGGAGAAGGATAGAAATAAAATAAGAATTAATTGAAAATCATTTTTTAAATGTCAAAGATATTTTTTAAAAGCAAAAGATAAAATTAAATAAGAATTGAAAACCAACACTATCTTTTAAATGCTTTTAAAAAGATAATTCTTAGAAAAGACATTTGACATTCAAGAAATGATTTTACAATTTTTATTTTATATTTATACTAATTTCTTTTTTTGTTTATATTTTTGTTTCATTTGCGAACTCTGAAAATGGCGCTGATTCCCGATTTTTTTTTCATTGATTATGTCTCTTTTAAAAAATTTATTCGTTTAAGAAACAATTTCGCTATCTGATTAATTTTATAATAATTATATTATATTATGTTATAATTTTTTATTCTTTTTCTAATTTATCGATTAAAAATTTTAAATTTATTTGATGTAATTTTTATATATCGTAAATATATNATATATATAAATATATAAAAATTTTATAAAATAATTATTATATTTTTGTGTTGTAAAAATATAAGCAAAATTTTTAATTCGTAAATAATATTTAATTCATACATGAGTCTATTATCATATCAAATCTAAATTATAGAGATCGTATCATGATTTTTTATGCGATCAAGACATTTCATGAGACATAAGACACGAGACAGTTTCGATTATGTTTTTTGAGATGATGTAGTTCAATTTTTCATTATAACGTGATGTTTTTTTAATTAATATTTTTATATGTTATATAGAAATTAAAATAAAAATGTCAAATTCGCTTGTAAGAAAAGGACTTGAATTAATGGGTTGTGAAAAAAGCATAAAACAAGGTATAAGTTTTAATTTGTACAGGTTATAAATTTATATATCATGTGACATAAAATTTTTATTTATAGAAAGAAAGAAAAGAAAACATATAAGGTATAAAGGTGCACTGGATTTAATCCCTCCAAAACATAGGATATTATCTAAAAATGATAAAACAGGTATCTATAATTTTTTAAATAAAATATATAATCAATTATTCATTTGTCTTATAAAACATAAATATTTTTAAAGATCTCGGTACAATTCTTGGACGATCAAGTAAAGTAACTGTCTATGAAACTCAAAAAAAATTAGCGGCACAAAAAGATTCTACAGATAAAAATATACAGAAACTTTTAATACTTAGTAATAATCGTATTGATCCAAATACAACAAATAAGGTACTCATATTTTTATAAATTTTAAATTATTTGAAAAATAAATTTTAATCAAAAAGTTTAATAACAGTTATTGGAGAGAGCCTTGAAAAAGAAATATATTCCAGAAGTAAAAAAACCTAAAGAACCTGAAACTACTGCATTTACTGAAGAAGATTTCAAAAAGTTTGAAAAAGAATATATGGATCAATAATAAGTAAATTGTATTTTTATATTTCCTAAATTATCTTAGTTAAACAAGATTATTTGAAAAAAATATTATTAAATTCACTTAATAAATTTTATTTGGTATTATATCATGATATGATATTTGTCATAAATACATAAAAACATTTCTATATATTTTATCATAAGTAATATATTTTTTTATATATTTATATTTAATCTATTATAAATATAAATAATCTATTATAATTTTTAATTATAAAATGTTTAATAGCGATCGTAAGAAGGGTAAAATGATATTGATTGTGACTTGTATTTTATTTCTGTATTATACTATATGGATCATTGGCTTACCATTTATTGATGACAATAGAATACGATCATTTTTTGGTTCTTACAACATTGCATTAATGTTTCCTGCTATTTTGGGCTTATGTTTCATTGGTGGATTAATATTATTTACTATTTATCATGTTAAGCCATATTATTCAATTTATAAATCAAGTAAAACTTATGAATCATAATATTTATATAGATAGAATTTTATTTTATATTAATAATTTTTGTTATAAAACATTTACATTGCATGTTTTATTATTAATTAGATAGGGAAATTAATATGAGTTACGTAATATTATTCATAATACGTTAGTTTAAAATAACCTATTCTAAGATACAATATAAATAACATAAATGATATAAAATGTCTTCAAAAAAATGGTTTGTAATTGGTATTTCGGGTACAACATGTAGTGGAAAAACTTCTGTAACTACCCAACTTCATGAAAAGTTAAAAAACTCAATAGTGTTACACCAAGATAATTATTTCTTGCCGAAAGATGATCCACGGCATGTTTTGGTAAAAGAACTTAATCATTTTAATTGGGAATTAATAACTAGTATGGATATGGACAAAATGTATTCAGATATTTTACAATTAATCGAATCTTTTCCGAATGAAAATAATTCTTCCGAAATGATCAACAAAAATATATTAATATTAGATGGATTTTCGCTTTTTAAATGTAAGGTTATTTCAAATTTGTGTGATCGTAAATATTTCATAATGTTAAACAAAGAACAATGTTGGAAGAGAAGGAAAGAAAGAAAGTATGATCCACCAGATGTTCCTGGTTATTTTGAAAAAGTTGTATGGCCAGAATATTTAAAACACAAAGATGAATTAATGAAAGACAATGATTTGTATAATACAGTAACATTCATTGATGGATCAAAAAGTAAAAAAGAGATATTTGAAATAATTTTTAATGAAATAAAAAAATTATCATAAGATTTTAATTATTATTATTATATGTTAAAGAAAAACTACAATAAATATATACCATAAATTAATTTTAAATATTTAACTATCATTTAACAAAAAATGATAATGTTATAAGTCAACTTCAAAAAGAAATATGTTATACTACATTCCAAAATATTTAGTATAAATTAAAATTTTTAAATATTTTTGATAATAATTTAAATTATCTTTCTTAAATTTTTTTTTGTTAAGTTTGAGATAAAATAATTGTAATAATAAATCCTGTATAATAAATTTTGTATACAAATGGATAACTGATTTTTATTGAATTGAAAAACATAATAGTCTTATACTTACCTAATATAATAATGCATTGAGTATTTCTTATTTCTTTTTTCATAAATGATAAATAAACTTGTATTTGTTCACCTTTCATTTTGTAAGAAATATATATATGTGTGTATATATATATATATACACGCATATTTCATTGTTATATTATTATCCATATTGATGAATTTTTATGGATTTCTATAGAAATGCCCATATATAAGTTAAAAAATCAGACACGATGGTTTTTAAATGTACATGAAAATACACGTGTAAATACATGGGAGACATGTATTAAAAAATTCAAAATTTATGTACTTAACATTTGTTTAATGAGTATTGAATCATTTTAGCTTGATAGCTTGGTTTTTTCATAATAATAAATATTAATATTTTTATAGAATACTTATAACAATATGCAAACTAGAAATTTTTGATGAAAATATTTTTGTAATACTTTTATATATGCAAAATCAATTAATTAAATTCATTTTCTTTTACATTCTTTCATATAGTTTCATATAGTTTCCTACAAAATTTTTTTGTTGCCAGGCTAATGTTTGATATTTTCATGAATATACACGTGTATTTATTAAATAGGAATTTCTATAAAAAATTGTGATAATTTTGCACTAATGTATCACAATATTCTAACTACAACATGTACAATATTTTCTTTTTTGCATTGCATATAAAGCCTGCTTCAGATGTTAAATAATTATTAAGGAAATAATTTTTAATTTTGTTTCATATGCATAGTATATTTTGTACAAAAATTAATTGTATAAGGCTTAGAAAATAAAATATATTTGAATTGGTAACTCCTTCACAGACACACTTTATAACTTACAATATATCAATCAGCCTTCAGTTTTAGACAGATCCAGAAAGGGTACTTATATGATTTATTATAAAAAGGACATTTTATAATTTTTCATATCTTTTGTTACTTTTACTACTTCAATAGCTTATAATTCCATATAATGACAAATAGTAATATTTTTTTTTTGTTTTGTACAAAATAGATTATGTTTAGCCAAATTTCGGACATCCATCTTCATCCAAAACAGGCTTCTAAATGTTCAAGTCCTTGCTTTCAACAAGATTTGCTTCATTTTTTCTTTTTTTTTTAATAAAGGTAACGCACAACGACGTGTATATGTTACATGGAATAGTTGCTATGTTTAGATTGACCTTGCACATTTGTTACATTTGTTGGAGCAGGACCAGCTGTTTGATCATCTTGATCATTTTGTCCACAAGCTTTTCGAACATATTGAGGTGTAAGAACAACTTCTTCCTCCATTTCAAGAACTCGTTTATCCAATTCCATACATGCTGCCATTTCTTTTTCTAGTTTTGCCAACATTTGTGGCGAATTGTATTTTTCTGGATCATCATGAAATACTACCATACCATCTTTTTGATTGATTGTTGCAAAAATCTCACCATCTTCTATCTAAAATTATAAATATAAAATATTTTTATATAATATTTGAATATATATTATTATGTTATTAATAAATATTATTAATAAATTTACCATGTTTAATATATATTTTTCTGCATCAGCAGGTCCAGACAATTGAACTCTGCTAGCCACATCACTTAAGCTAAGAGTTAAAAAAGTTTTTGTCAACCTTTGAATGTTCTTTTTATATAAATAGCTCAGCACTTGTTTTACCAATCCCATATTATGGTCTCTTGTAAATAATTGTTGATACTTAGTAATAATATTTTGCACCTCTTCACAACTATTCATTTGATAAGCTGTAGCTAATTCTTGATATTGTTGACCCAATGGTTTCATGTACCTATTAACCACTTGACTTGTGTACCTAGGTAAATTTAAAACTTTTCCATGCAGTATTAAAGAGACCAAAATATATTTTTTGTAGGCCTCTAACATAATGTAACTAACTGCCATGGCAGGTGTTGTTACACATACTTCGAAAAAATATAATGCTCTGTCATAATTTTTTAATGCTGTATATATCATACCACCATAATAATAATAAAGTAAAAAGTATTTTGAATCAAATTGTCCTTCTTCTTGATTGATACCAGTAACATCTATATCAAGAAATTCAAGTGCTGGCTTAAAACACTTAGAAAGAAGACATAGTTGACAAAGATCTGCATGTATTGAAGTAAGCTGACTATCAAATAATTGTATTTTACGTATTGCACGGCATAAAAGTTCAATACCACGCAATGGTATTTGTAATTCAACCAATGTTTGGGTAAATAAATGACATAATTCCGCATCTGTAATAAAAATTATAAATAAAATAAAAATATTTTTATTATAGTTTCAATATTCATAAAAAAAAAAGAAAATATAAATCTTACATATATCAGAAGCAAATCTAACTTGTTCTCCATTACAACCAATAATAAATTCCTGAACCTGACTAAATAGTGGTTTATAAGCATCAGCATTGTTTGCACCATTAGGATTAGGCAGTGAAAATTTTACACATAGTACTGCCAAAATACCTAATGAATGTTCTTGCAAATTTAAGGTTTCCAAAACATTATCTAAGTGTTGTCCATTTTTTATTAGAACATCTGTACTTTTACTTATTATTTCGGATAGCTCCCTAAAGTTACCTATGAAATATAAGATAATTAAATAATATATATGTTTAATAACTAATAAAAATATTAATATAATAATAATAGTAATATAAAAATAGTAATTTTACTTGCAAAATATTGATTAAAGAGATACATATATTTTTTTTATTAATGCCAAAATTTGAATAAGAAAATAATTCATATGATACTATGAAAAATAATTAGAATTTCATTATAAATAAGTTTAATGTATAAATTGAATTTATATATGATTTGAATAAAATTAGATTGAAGAATTATTGACTAACAGAATAAGAAAATAGTATGAATTCGAATCTTATTTTTTAAAAAACGATTATTTCAAAGTAATACAAAATGTTCTAATAATCCTTCAGGATAATTCTTAGAGGTTAGGTACGTGAGAATGTAAGGAAGATCTGAACATCTGTCGCACCTTGTTTTGAGAGTGTCCGCACATTATTTACAAATAGCTCCAATGCTGATGCCATTACTGCAAATGGTTTCTTCTCATCACCACCTTTAGTCGGTGGTGAACCGTATTTACAGAAATTATTTTCGTGAATAAACGATCACTTAAGATGACGTTTTGAAAGAGGCACCCGGAATGCTCTGAAGCATGTTACGAAAATAGCCGGTTGCATCGAACTCCCTCTTTTATGTTATGGATCACACAAAATTTGAATTGAAATATATTCAAATAAATATATTTTCTTTGCAAATTTAAGTTATCTTATATTAATTTTTTAATTGTATGTGTGAGAATCATTATAAATTGAAAATATATTTAATATGTATATACATTATATGAAGTAAAATTTTATCTATTGCTTTAAAAATTATAATGTTATAATTAATCAATATGATTATTTTAAATACTGCATTACACTAATATTTATAAAAGTATTAAAATAAATATTTAAATATATATGTATATTTTATTTTAAATACATATACTTATCTTATATAAATAAAAAAGAAATTTTATGTATTGTTAACTTAATTGATGGTTGCTAGGATATTAACGATTTCTAACAATTCTAAAAATAGAATAAAGCAAAGTGTTTTCACTATAATGTCTTTCAATTAAAATTCAATTGCATTTTCACTTTTTTTAATTCTTAAACAGGAAAAAAAGAATTAAATATTTTTTTATTATGTCAAATATAACATACAATGAACTCTGGAAAAATGCACAAATTGCTTTGGAAGAACTTCTTCAAGTGGATACAAATTTGCAAAATGCTAAACCACAAAAAGATCGTAAGAAAATTTATAATGCGATTTCAGAATTATATGTAAGATATATTATTATCTATAATAAATTAGAACTGTGTTACGATCAAATAATTCAACCACAAAAACGATTATTAATAAAAAAAGTATTAGTTTCATGTCTCGGAAGAATTTTAGAATTAAAACATGAATTAGTCGAGATAGATATTTCAGAGTATAATTATTTTGATGATATTCTAATAAAATTAAATGTTACTCCACAAGAAATTGAAATTCAAATACCCAGATATTTTAAACGCGAACGTTTACAAGAAATTAAGGAAAAACGAAATTATATAGAAAATACTTTGAAAAATATGGGTATTTTGGATAAAACAATTATACCAAAAAAGATGACTGAATTGGAAGCAATAAGGCTTATACAGGTAAAAATTTTTTAAATGAAATTTTTTTAATGAAATTTTTAAAATAAAAAAGAAAATTATCTTTCTATAATTATATAAGAAAATTATCTTGAAAATTATCAATATATAATAAAACGAAAATATTCGAACGCTTATATTTTGAACTATTTTTGACAAGTATATATATATAACATAATTTAATTTCATATAAAATATTTTTATTACAAATTATCGAGGAAATACAAAGAACACTTGTCACAAAATTATTCGAAAACTTGAAATAATATAAGCGTATGAATTCTTTCATATATGTTGTATATATTTATATATTATTTATATAAATATTAGGCTCATGAACGTGCTAGGCAAGATCGATTAAAATTTCAATTTATGAAAGAAATTTATCAAATAAAAGATAAATCTGCAATTAAAGCAGAAACAGAGATAAAAAATGAGTCGGACAAAACAATAGCTGCAATAAAAATTCAAAAAATTTGGAAAGGATATCTAACTAGATTCAAAATTCGAAAAAGATGTCTCGAGGAAATGTTATTAATTGGTATCTTTTATTAAAGATTAATAAAATAATTAGGAAAAATAAATATATAAATAAATAAAATATATGAATTATATATATTATTTTTAAAGGTATGGTTCAACCGAGTCAAGAAATTACTGAAAACGCCAAACAAGTTGAAAAGATCAAAGAAGAAAGATATGAGAAACAAATAAAATATCAAGAATTATATGAAAATTTAATGGTTACAACTAAAGAAAGGATACATAAAGAAAAAAGCGCTATAATAGAGGAAAATATAAGAACTGAAGTTCGAAATTGGATAAAAACTTATTTCCAACAAACAGGAAAAATTCCTGATTTGCCACCTGCAGAAAGTGGTGGATCCAGAATCATATTTAGCAGACAAGTAAAATTAACATTTATATTTATATAATATATATATTTTGAAATTAAATGACTGTGCTGATTTTAATTTAGGAAACTGAAAGTACCATAAGTAAATCAACAGCAGTATCATCAAAAGAATCTAAAAAATCTAAAAAATTAAAATCAAAAAAAGATAATAATGTTGAACAATCAGAAGATGAAACTGAACAAGGTTTCAAATCAATCCCTTCTAATTTTCTATCAGAATTAGTATATGCTAATCAAGAATATCAAGAAATATGGAAAAATAAAGATGAAACTATGAATGCAGCACAGTTGCCATATTTAGATATAATAGAGAATGAAACAATTAATAAAGTAGAAAATGAAGTTCGTATTACAGTTGATCAAGCACTCAGAGGTAAATTTTAAAATTAATATATATATATATATATATATATATATATAATATAATATAATATTATATAATATAATATAATATAATATATATATAATGCAAAATACTTTTATAATTTTATATTATATTTCAAGGAGATATTGAAGCATTACAAAATGCATTAGATAGAGATAAAGGTTTTAAAGGCAAACGCCCTAAAAGAAGTCAAAAAAGAATTCGCCGTAGTACAAAAAAAAATAAAAAGAGAAAAGAAAAGGATTTGACACCTGATAGAACAACAGAATCTTTATTTGAAGAATTATTAACTCAAGGAATTATTAAACTTCATAAAGAAATTCCACTTAATGATTTTAAAGGCGAAAAATCTTTCTTAAACTATAATTTAAAAGAGAAGAAGATAGAATCTTTGCCAACATTTGGTTAAGTGTTCAATATTAATTTAAGTTTATTATATTCTTCACATTTCTCATTCTCATTTTAACTTATTAAATAATCTTTTAAAAATATAAATCTGTTAAGTAATCTTTAAATCATGTTAATTCTATTAATAGGAGATATAAAACAGTTGATAGCTGAATATTGTATACTTCCTTTGGGAGACAATACTCTTAGAGAACTTACACCATTAATAAGATCAGTATTAATAGCAGGTCCACATGGTAGTGGTAAAAAAATGCTAGTAAATGCAATTTGCACAGAACTTGGAGCTACATTATTTGACATTACACCAGCTAACATTGCTGGAAAATATCCTGGTAAATCAGGATTAATTATGCTTATGCATTTGATATCAAAGGTAAGAAAAATGAAATAAAAATAATTATATGAATTATAGAGAAAGTAATTTTATATTTTTTATGAATAAAGGTATCTCGTTTGCTTCAACCATCAGTGATATTTATGGAAGGAGCAGAAAAACCATTTGTAAAAAAAATTCTAAAAACAGATAAAACTGATCCAAAACGTTTAAAAAGAGATCTTCCCAAATTAGTAAAAAGTATTACAAATGAAGATAAAGTGATTCTTATTGGAACTTCAAGTTCACCATGGAATGGAGATCAAAAACTTTTATATCAAACTTATGATAAAATTATATATATTCCTAGGCCAGATTATGGAACTATGTCTCTCATATGGAAAGATTTATTATATAAAGTATGATTTTATTAATTTAAATTGTATTAAATTTTTATTAAAAAATATACAATATAATATACATAATCCATAAAATGATAGTTTTTATTATTAGAACATATATGTTTATATTTATAGCATTCTGGAATTAATAGACAATTTGATACAACTATTATGACTAAAATTTGTGATGGTTTTACGATTGGCTCTGTATTAGCGTCAATTAATGAGGTATTGGCGAAAAAATTATTATTATAATAATGTAAATATTATATGTAATATTTTTTTTTATGTTTTTTTTCTAATAATTACATATAAATATAATACAGGTAATGACTACAAAACGAATAATGCAATTAAAAACTCATCCGTTGACACATGGAGAATTAATAAATGCGTTGAGCTCAAAAGATCCAGTTTTTTGCGAGGAAGAATCCGCGTTTTTAGGTTTGTATATATATGTTCTATGAAATAATATTAATATTTATGATTAATTTTATTTACGATAATTCTGATTATAGCATGGCTTTCAAAAACACCCATAAATCGTAAAAAACAACGAGCACTTGAATTGGAACTTCAAAACTTAAAAGAAGAAAATGAAAAAAAGAAAAGAAAAGGAAAAAAATCTTCGTAAATAAATTTATATATATATTAATTAATAAAAATAATTAATAATATATATAATAAAAATTAATAAAATAATTAAAAAGTAATAAAATAATAATAAAAATATGAATAAATATTAAATATAATTCGTGAAGTTTTGTTACTTCTCTAATTTGCTAATTTTTATAATCTTATTGATTATTCAATCTTATTTTACAGATCTTCGTCACTGTTTATCGAGCTCTTGTAAAAATGCAAAATTTATTTACATAAGTAAAAATAAACGTAACTACGATTTACGTTCGAGATCAAAGTTTCAAATATTGATAAATCTAGCATTATTTTAAATAAAAAATAAATTTATGAATTCATGAAGTACAAATGAGAAAAAATCAAAATAAAAGTAGATATTATTAATTATTTATTTTATATTTTTTTTTATTATAACTTTTATTATTATAAATTATAAAAATATTGTCTACAAATCTATATATGTTATAATATATATATATATATATAAATTTATAATGGTATATCATTATATATCATTATATATCATTATATATTATTATATATCATTATATATTTCGCAATTAACATTAATTACTTTTATCATTAGTTTTTGTGATGTTATTAGTATAATAATATAAGTTTTCATGATTAAAAGGATGATTCATGTTCACATATTAGATTGATAATAGATTCAAAATTTGATTTCATAATCATTAATTGTGTGTTAATTGTGTTTCATAATTTTATCGAGATTATATTATTAATATTTGATTCTATAGCTTTTGGAAGCGTAAATCTGAGTTAGAAGAACGACAATTGCAATCTGACAAGTTTTTATTCATGAACGTCCCTTTTGTAAGAGAGATAACTAGAATAAAATTGTTAGCTTTGGATCGTAACACAAAAGTCTCGTTAAGTCTAAACTTATACAGGTTACATGTTTCTTTCTTCAGTTCACGTGATATAATATGAGGCGAATAAGTTTTATGATAAGACAGTGGCAAAGATCTTTCCAAAATGTTATCAAAGAGAAATGATGGGGGAATAATATTACACATAATATTATTCTTATATTAAAATATGTTACATTAATTATAATTCTATTTTAATTATGAAAATAAGACATATCAAGTAAGATTTTACATTTTTTTAAAATATTCAAATGCTAATAAGAGAATTTATTAAAATAATTAAATAAATTATTATTAAATAAATAATTATTTAATATATGAATTTAACTTATTTTATGTAAAAAAAATAAATTATAACGATCAGTGTCAATAATAATATAATTGTAATATTTCTCTTGAATGAAAAAAAAATTAAAAAATTGAAACAAATGAAAAAAATTATCTAATATTTTAGATATAGACAAAGCAATTCGACAAAAAATTGAATAATCAATTTGCTTTATCTGTTAGAATACTAATGTGTTATATAAGATATTAAAGCAAAAACGTATGAGTTTTTTCTAATATTAAAAAAAGTAATTTTTTTTAGCAAATATGAAAAATAAAAATGAATTCACTGCACATTTTGAATTTTACAGAATTTTGAACCTCTTAAATAACACATTAAAAATATCAAAAAAAATTTTGATCTCCGAAATTTTTCAAAATTTGCACTTTTATTAAATATTTTTTAAAATGACACAATTGTTATAAAAAAAAAATGAACAAACTTTAATGTTTACAAATATCTCTCGAAATCTGTCGATTACGTTACTGCACTAGGATATCGATTCCTCGCGTCAGTTCATCGTGTTATAGTGGTGAACTATTTTATGCTAGTTATCGGTATTGATAACATAAAAATTATATAAAATAAGAACGTGACTAATTGACATGTGATAACTGCATGTACACAGATCGATCAAGACTAAAATTTAAACAAAATGTTGAATCAGTTGAGAGAATAAACGTAATTCAACGTAAAAGCGGAATATTCGTAACGGAAGATGGAACGCCGGTTCATTCTCATGCGCTTGCGTACCGGAAACGTGAATTCCTATTGGTCGACGCCACATGGTCTGATGTCAGACCATAGGGTCTGTCCAATTCAATAATAACGAGATGCTCACGAGCTAGACGTTAGCCAGTTTTCTGCGACGTGCCCATGGTGCTTATGCTGGTTTTATCGATAGGGAAACTGCACGTCGCGTATATATAAAATTATTAAATAGCAGAGCCATTTTTCTATTTAAATATTATTACACATTTCGTTATTCTTTCATTATTGTTATTACAAGTTGGTCGACAAGATCTACTCTATTTATTTCTAATTTAGTGGTGAATGTTAATTAAATACGCAGGATTTTTTAACAAAAAGGAAAATAGAATTCAATAATATTTATCAGGATTATATCCACGTGTGAGGTAAGTGGTTAAACGATGTTTCACTTTAAATAAATTTTTAACATTTTATTGCTAATTGATATAATAAAGTACACTTAATTTATTAACAATTTAATCCAAATTATTGACAGTTCGGAAAATTCTTTTCAAGTCTTTTTAAATATTAAAAAGAAAATTATTAAATAGAAAATTAATCAATTATATTTACTTATCATTATATTCACAATATATATATTATCAAATAATGCAGAATATTAATTTTTTAATAAAACTACTATATTATTATAATGTTAAGATATAAAATTTCATTAGTGAATATCTAATTAATGATTAAATAATAAATTGTTATCATTTTCTGTTTAGTCATACAAAATAAATATTTTATAATATAAATCTTATATATAAATTAAATAATTAACAATTAATGAATTAAATTTGATTAATTTTTCTAATTAATCAAATTTTGACTTCTTAATAACAATAATTTTTTCGATTTCTTTCTTATATTAATCAAAAGTTTTGAAAATAAACACGATTATCAATAATATATAAAATAATTATAAATTTTCGTAGTGATATTAAATTAATAATATTCTTTTACAATTTAATTTATATTTTTACGAATTGTATATATATATATATTTCCAACAAAATCACATTCTATGGAAGATTCTTTTGTGTTTTGAAAAACAATTGAAATTTGAAAAAATTTTCATACAAAATAGATATAATAGATATAATAGTCATAGCAATGTCATAGTAAATCTAATCATTAGTGAATAGTGACTGATATAAAACTATTTAAAATGAAAAAAATATCAGTAATAAAAAAATTTATCTAGAAAATGAATTACTAATATTTATTTGTTATCTAAATTTGAAAAATTATTTCACAATATATATATAATATTATTATGATACTATTCTATATACAATAACTATATATTTTTCTTACAAATAAGAACATCATGATATATATAATGTGATATTAGCTAAGTTAATATTTGTATATATCTATTCGGCACGAATGACGAATGATAAACGCATTTTAATTATAATTTCGCATTAATATTAAATTTAACTTGTATAAATTTTTACTATTGCGTTGTATACTTATCTTATATTTTCAACGAGTAGACGGTATTAAATTATCATGTTATTAAATCATAAGTATTTTTTTGATACATATATGTTAAGTGTAATAAATAAAAAACAAATTATTTAAAGATATATTTTTACTTATTTTTTTTATAAATTTAATTTTTTTATAAATTTTTTTTCTTTTTATTAAAATCTTTATTACTATGAATATTGTTTTAAATTTAACTCTTAGAAAAACAATGTTTTTTATGAGCTGACCTATAAATTTGTTTATATTTTTTCATTTATAATTAATAGTGATTCTGTTTCTTTCTACAAACTGGTAATGAAAATATTTTTTGTTTTTAAATAAAAAAAAATGCAATTAAAAACGATTATTAATTTAACAAAATATCAATAATAAACTTAACATTCTAAATATAATTTTAAAAATATAAATATAATTTTAAAAATAATGCAAATTTATCTCAAGATATATTTATATAAAAAATATTTTATGGAATATTTAATGTATATAATTGTTGTTATTATATTATTATTTTTTTCTTGTTGCATCATTATTTATTCTTAATATTAAATAATAAATTCTTCCTGTTATGAATTTTATTCAAAAAATGAATTTTTAATAAAAAAAATATCTTAAAAATATAAAATATCTATAATAAAAATTCTATATATTTATTGATATATTTTTTAATATATTATTAATATATAATGATTAATAAAATATTATAAATTCTATATAATAATTTAATTAAATTTATTTCACAAACATAAAAAATAGAAAATTTGATTTACATAGAATTAGAAACTGATTACGGATATTTTGATCTTATGCGCATCTATTTTGCGCAACACGTGATACGTGATCAACTCATGAACTAATGCTGACAAGGAGAGGTTCCCAAGTATAATGCTGACTTCTTAATGAGTTTTTACACAATAATAAATCTTAAAAAATTGAAGCCAATATATCTGAATTTATGTATAATATCTGAATATCTAATTTTGAGGCAAATTATCAATAATTTAACATTGAGATATTTAACATTGAAATTATCTTCTTATTTTTCTTATATTTTGAAATAATTATCAATTAAACCGATATAACTGATTATTAGGATAATGGTGTTCTTTTTGTTATCGATTTAAATCTATCTATAAATATTAAATTATAAATTAATTATTATATTTATCATATTAAATTATAATTATTTTCTTTTTTTTTCATTTCATTGTATGTTTATAATATTTACGACTAATCTTAATAATTATTTTAATTTTAATAATTATTTTTTCGAAAAATATAAATATTGCACCTTATAAGAGTAAAGAGATAAAAAGTTTAAATTTATATAGAATATAAATTTGTAATTATATATTTTTATGTGATGAAATCATTCAATTATAATTTGAATTATATGGAACATATTTTTTAATAATAAAATTATTATTAAAATCTATAAGCGTGCAGATTATATATTATTTTCTGTTTTTTATATTAAAAATTAGTGATATATATATTGATTTAATAAAATGTTATTGATATAAAAAAATAATG